GCTTCTTTAATGACGTATGCTTCATGATGGACATCTGTGTGAGCGTGGAGGAGTTCTCTAGAGTCACCTTCCCTCCAAAAGTGTCCCGTCGTGCTGAACAAAAGCTCTGCTGAAAGGTTTGGTCATGATAGATGGATGCGTCGGTCTGTATTGTTGGATGAAAAGTCTTAGTTAATGGTTTGGTAATATCGTGAATTGTACATTCAGTGTGACTGAAGTACCATAGACATAATTGATCACGTGTTTCAATGTCTGAACCGTAAGTCAGTGACTTTAAACAACTTGTGGATATATGAAATATTAAATGTTTCTTCTAATGCAGCTTGTTTGCTTCTCTTTCTCTTCTCCCACAGCTCTTTCGTGAAGTGAGGATTATGAAGGTCTTAAATCATCCTAATATAGGTAAGGAATCATCCTGATATCCATTTTACATTTGAGCTGTCTGTATGGGTATTTAAAACCTGAAGTTTACCTATTTTGGTCATGCTGCTTTTTATTTTAGATAAGGGGTCACCAATCTCGGTCCTGGAGGTTTGGTGCCCTGCAGTGTTTAGCTCCACCCTGCCTCAACACACCTGCCTGGGTGTTTCAAGTACACCTAGTAAGAGCTTGATTAGCTGTTCAGGTGTGTTTGATTAGGGTTAGAGCTAAAATCTGCAGGACACCGGCCCTCCAGGAACAAGTTTGGTGACCCCTGCTTTAGACCATCACATCTGTGGAATTTAAAATCACAGTCTGTTAGAGCAGGGCCGGAGTGGGACTCATTTTCAGCCCTGGAGTTTCAAGCCAGACCGGCCCACCTCAGTTCACGACTGACTATATTAAAATAAGGCCATTTCCAATTCAGTTTCTAATGACACTATCATGTCTGTTTCAAGAAAACAGCTGCTTTAGAAATTCAAATGTTCAAAAGCCCTCACAGTATTATATGTCTTAACAATAAAAATGAAAAAAATAATAATAATAACAATAATTTTCCAGGTGAGATTCGAACATGGGTCGGCGGCATCGCAACGCAACGGGCCCTATCATACACCCGGTGCAGTGTGGCGCAAGGCGTGGTGCAGTATTCTTTTGGAAGTTTCAGCTTGGCGCAAGAGTGGTTTTGAGGCGTTGCGCTACGCTGTTTAAATAGCAAATGCATTAGCGCTCATATGTGCGCACATAAGCGTTCTGGTCTAAAAAGGAAGGTGTTCTGAGGCGGACCGCTGGCGCGTCGCTATTTTGAGAAACTATAATAGATTTTTCATTAGACCAAAACTAACCCGGTCTAAACTCCAGCACAGAGTTGCGCCTCGCTTACACACTGCTTAATACACACAAGAGAGCAACAGACAAATATCTTTACATATGAAAACATTTAAATATTAAGGATATATATAGGATATAATAAGAATAGATATAGAATATAAATATAAAGGATTAAAATATTACAAAACACATTATTTTCTAGCTTACATAAATATGAAAAATCACTGCTTTTATGTCTTCTTCATCTCGGGAGGCTTTTTCAGTTCATTCATAACAATTTGCTTCTGTATAATGTTATTATTATTAGCAGTATTATTTATTATATCCATATTTATATTTGTTTTATTAAAAACAAGCTTAGATTTGTCCACCTGTCAGGTTTTAGACCATATGGGGCACAGCATGTGTTTTAGGATATAACTCAGGTTTTTGAGCACACTTCATTATTATTGTTCATTTATTCGTTTGCTGGAAATTAGAACTGAATTTAGAAATAGTTTTGAAACGAATATTTGCGCTTAACAAACAAAAGTATTTATTTATAGGCTAATTGATGTCTGTGTGTAAAGGTTTCCCTATCCAAGAGTGAAAGTG